CCCCCATTGGCACCCGCCCGTATCGCTCAGGCCGATGTCGACGACCTTTTGCGCGCCAGCCACGCCAGGGGGAAGTGAGGAGGAGGAGGAGGAGGAGGTGGAGGAGGGGGAGGAGGGGGAGGAGGAGGAGGAGGAGGAGGAGGAGGAGGAGGAGGACGACGAGGAGGAGGAGGAGGAGGAGGACGAGGACGAGGACGAGGACGAGGACGAGGACGAGGACGAGGACGAGGACGAGGACGAGGAGGAGCAGGAGGAGGAGTAGGAGGAGGAGGTGGAGGAGGAGGAGGAGGAGGAGGAGGCTGGCGCGCAGAAGATCGTCGATGCCGCATCGGCACAGGCGAGCAGAACGCGCCAGCCACGCCAGCATCGCGGGCCTCTGCGATCGCACTCGCCGCCGCCCGCCGGCTCGCCGCGGGCGCGCAGCGACATCGGGCCGATGCCTCGGGCGCACGCCGATGGCGAAGCACCAGCGATCACAATCGCGCCCGCGAGAGCATCGCGGAGACGCGGGAGTCTGGCTCGACGAACGCTCGGCGGCGACGATAGGGCCGAATAGCCTAGGGGCGGGCATTACACGCATTCGCCCGGGAGCCTTTGCGAAGACATAGATCATCGGCGCACCTGAATAAATATGTTGCATTCCCCTGGGCTATTCGCCCCTATCGTCGCCTCTGAAAGGCGACCCTCAAAGAGGTGATCGACCCCCGGCTGGAGGAAGCGAAGCCCCTCTTGGACAACGGCCGCGTCCCTGCGCGCATCGCAGACTACAAGGTCCGCTCACAAGGTCAAACCCCCGCCGCTGGAGGAGCTTGCATTGGGGAGCAGCTGGCCGGCTTGGATTCTGTCCTCCGAAGCGGATGGGCCCCCATACGCAGACCACGTGACATGGAGGCCGCAAGGTCATCGCATCTTCAAGCAAGTGAAGCTGGCGAGGAAGACAGTCAATCTGGACGGCACGTGGTCCATCGTTGAGCTGTTCGGCCTGGGGCGTTTCGAGTCGTGGGACTGGGCGCGCGGCCTTCTCCGCACAGGTCTCTCTCAGTCCAGGGCGATCGACTTGGGCACTCTTCTGGATTGCCGCAATAACTTCGCTCGGCGCCACCGGCAGCGTGGCCCAAATGTCTGGCACATCGCACGAGGTGTTGGACGCGTACCAAGAGGCGAAGCGACGAGGCAACGACCACACTCACGACCCAATCACCCTTGGAATTTAGTCTGACAGTTGGCTGCAGACGACGCGGATTTCTGAGGGTCGTTGGTCTTGGCGAAGACGGCGCCCTTGGCCAGCATCTTGGGCAACGGGGCGGCGATGCCAGAGCCGCCAGGGGCCCGGAGCCAGCGTCGCCTGCCGAGCAGGAGTCCGCCTCGGAGCAGGCAGGCCACCAAGCGAGGGCGCGGCGGCCGCCCAGCGGCGCCGCAGCGCCGCCACTTCCGACGAAGAAGCCACGCGGCGACGCGCAGGGCGAGCTGGTCCACTAGGTGGAGAGCGGCAAGTTCGTGGCCAACCGCAGCAAGGTCAAGCTCTGCCAGGCATTCCAGACGGGCCAGCGCGAGCAGACTCGCTGGAACAACATGTGTCCCCATGGCACTGGCGAGGTGCACCAGTGCGAGCACTACCTGGGCACTGGCCACGGGTCTGCTCACCCGCACCCGTTCAAGAAGACGCCGCAGTCCCCACCCAGGCCGCCTAAGTGCGGGACAAATGGCGAGGTGGCAGGAAGTGAGACACCCATGCCTCAGAGGCATCGGCCTTGGCGGCGCGCCCCGAGCGCCGAATAGGCCGTGTCGGATGCGCGCCCCAGATGCGTGATCCTTTTGGACACTTTGCCTGCAGCGTGGGCCGCGGTTGTTTATTCTGGGCAAGCACCGCTGAGCAAAGGTGCGGGTGTCTCTGGGGCGTCGACGACGGCAGCTCGTTCGAGCGCTCTGACGGCGCGCACGGCGTCGTCGCCAGAGGCCCCAGGGTGCGCCACTGAGCTGCCATTCGATCGTAGCCGTCTGAGGCTTGCATTCTCGTCGTCCTCGCCGAGCGTGAGGCGCGCTGGGATGCTGGCGACATGGCAGGGCAACTGCGCGAGCTCGGGGCGCGCGCAGTGGTCCACGGCACCAGCGGCGGCGACCTAAGCGAGCTTCTGGCGCAAAACGTGCGGCGCGAGGAAGACGCCAGAATTGGCGAGCTCGAATTTGACGGGCGCGCGCTGGTCACCCCGCTCGCGACGCTCGCCGCTCGCGGCGACGGCTGCCATGTTGTCCGCGGCGAGACGGCTTCGGACATCTCATGGATTCCGTCGTCTTCCGCCCGAGGTGACGGAGCGCGTTCGCGCCGAGACTGCGCTGGCCTTCCGGGCGGCAGCCGAGGCACGGAGAATCCTACAGCCGGGCCCCCCGCGGCGCGGCAATCGCCAGCGCCCAGGCGAGCTGTTCGCGCTTGGAGAAGCTGCGCAGTCAAGTCGCAGCGACGCGTGGGCGCGGCGCGGCGTGGTGTTCGTGTTTCGCGCAGGTGGTCGGCTCACTCCTGCTGGCTCTCAGGCAGTCTCGCGGCCGTTCTGGGACTTCTTTGGGGCCGGGGGTGTTTCAGGACGGCCTGGGTCGCTTCAAGGCCGTCGTGGGTCATTCTGCGGGTTGTTCTCGACCGCGCGGCGGCGGGATTGCGGTGAGCAAGGGAAAAATACATCATCACGATGAGCTGCCTTTGTTGACGGTGTGTGCAGGATGTGTCCAAGCCCTCATGGGCCCGCTTGGGGACCTCGTGAGAGCCTGTTGGACGCTGCCTGGCGCCTCCGAGGGGCTTCTGGGGGCCTCTTGATGGCCTCCAGAGGCATCTACTTTGGCGCTTGGGGGGGGGGCCTCTTGAGACCTTCGGGAAGCCTTTTGGCAGTTTTTTCTGGGTCCTTCGGAGACTTGAGGGTTTCCCAGGGTGTCTTGGCAACCTCTTGGGGGGCCTGTTCACACTTTTCTTGCGTTTGGGTTGCTTCTTGGGGCCTCTTGGGGGTCTCGCCGGGACATCGCGGGTCGTCTCGTGGCGATTTGGGCGCCTCTGGAGTCGTCTTGGACGCCGCGAAGACGAGCAAAGGGAGAATGCCAAAAGTGCGCGAACACCATCGGTTCTTGAAAGTTCTAGCCTTTAAGATGTGTGCTGAAGGGCTTATTTGGGGCCCTTGATGGGGCCTTCCCGGCAGCCTCGTGGGACCATCTTCGGGCCATCGCGGCCGCTTGAGGCCGTCGTGGACGCCGTAGAATGCCGTCTCGTCCGACTTGGAGGCAACAGTGGCCGTCTTGTGGCCGTCTTGGAGTCCAACAGGGGTTATCTCGGCCTTATGGTCAGGGGCAACGATAGATAGGGGATAGGCATAGGGGGGGGCGCATCGACCCCCAGTCGCCCATCGATCGCATGTAGGGGCCCACTGGCCCCAACCTGCCCGGGAACGCGCGGATTCACGATCGGGAGCCCGTCGCCGATCTATCGGCGACGCATCGCCGATGCCAGGGCGATGCCTCCCCCCCTATGCCTATCCCCCCCCCCTACTGTGGCCCCGCATCCGGCAAGCCCTCTTGGAGCCGCCCGGGGGGGCGACGGGCGCCTGGAGGGGGGAGGGTCCATGGATCATCCCTCCTGGAGCTCTGTATCTGGGACGTGCTTCGGCTGAGCAAGCAGCAAACGCAGGGCCTTGGTCAACATCACACCAGAAAAACCCAAATCAGTGGATGGTTTTCGCTGAGGAGATCGACTGGGAACCCGGGAGCCCGGGAAGCCAGAACCCGCCGAAATCGGCCCGGAACCAATAAGTGGGAACCCGGGAACCCGGAACCAATAAGTGGGAACCCAGCTTGCTACCAAAATCGGCGGGAAATGTTCGCGAAATCTTTCAACTTCCGCTAGGACCACTTCCGTGCAAGCACTGATAGGGAAAATGGACAACATAATGGACGCATGTCAGGCTGGATGGCGAACAAGGCACGTCTCTCAAGTCTCGATCAGATGCATTGGTTGCTGACACCGCCGACGTTCCATATTCGAGCATCGCTGCGTTGATCTGCTCGCAGGCGGAAAGACCGTCAGAGACCATCGTGGGGGTATCCTGTTGATTGCGAACCTGGAAAAAAACAAATTATCCCAGTGCGACCCTACCTAGGAGTTGGAGCCCCTAGGAAAGCAGCATTAGTAGTAACAGTAAAGCTAAGCTAAAGCTAAGAAAAAGCTAAGCTAAAGCTAAGCTAAAGCTAAGCTAAAGCTAAGCTAAGGCTAAGCTAAGGCTAAGCTAAGCTAAAGCTAAGCTAAGCTAAGCTAAAGCTAACGCTAAGCTAGAGCTAAGCTAAAGCTAAGCTAGAGCTAAGCTAAAGCTAAGCTAAGCTAAGCTGAAGCTAAGCTAAAGCTAAGCTAGCTAAGCTAAAGCTAAGCTAAAGCTAAGCTAAAGCTAGCTAGCTAAAGCTAAGCTAAGCTAAGCTAAGCTAAGCTAAGCTAAGCTAAGCTAAAGCTAAGCTAAAGCTAAGCTGAAGCTAAGCTAGCTAAGCTAAAGCTAAGCTAGAGCTAAGCTGAAGCTAAGCTGAAGCTAAGCTAGAGCTAAGCAAAGTTAGCTAGAGCTAAGCTGAAGCTAAGCTAAAGCTAAGTTAAAGCTAAGCTGAAGCTAAGCTAAAGCTAAGCTAAAACTAAGCTAAAGATAAGCTCAAGCTAAGCTAAAGCTAAGCTGAAGCTAAGCTAAGCTGGGTGAACCCAGGGGGCGCAGCTGGGGGAACCGCGGGGCGGGGACTGGGGGAACCGCCCGGGGCGCTTTCCACTGCCCGGCCCCTTTAAGCTAGAGAGTAAGAACCCTTCTAGGCAGAGCCTAGGTAGGGAAAAAAATGATACTGCCCGTAGGCCCCAGAGCCCTCAGGCACGAGAGCTCTCGGCCCGCTCCCCGGGGCCAGCGTTTTTGTCGCTGAAAGTTGCCTGATGCCCCCGAGGCCCGACAGCGTCCGAAATCGGGACGAAGCACCGGAACTGAAAGATTATAGTACGCCAGAAGTTCGGGGGCGGCATAGAGGGGGGTGATGATTGGGGGGGGGATATCATGGCGTGGGCCATGATATTTCTTTAGATTTCATGACGCTTCTTCTCATTTCATTACGTTCCTAGCCCCCCCCAAGGGCCGCGCACATGCCGCCAGCCATGATTTGCATCCCCCCCTCTTGGACGCCCCCCTCTTGGCCGCCCCCGAGTGTAGGCGGTTGTTTTTGCACCCCCCCTGCAAGGGTCCAAGTTGCTGGGAGGGTGAGTTCAGCATCGGCCCATCCTGGAACGAAGTCCGGCCGGATCCTGCTTTCATCTGGCCTGGCACGACTTCTTAACTGCTGGCAGAAATCGGCGCGTTTTGGCCCGATGTCTTCCATCGGGCCTTGATACGGTCAGGAATTGTTGCTTGCTAGGAGCGTCTCGCGTGGCCGGTTCTGGCCCACCACGTTTCGGCACGCGAACCTTAAGTCGGGCATGTCCCTCCACAGGACGAAGAATCACAAATTGTCACAAAAGAAAGAATCGTCTGGAGAGTGCTTGGCTATGTTTGAGTATGGCTTGATTGTTTCTTGTTCCTAAGCCCCCCGGGCATGCCCGACCTACTCCAAATCCCTTATTAATCGTCCCCGGGGCCGGTTTTTGTTAAGGCGCCTTTTTTTGTAAATGTGGGGGGTCTGGTTTATCATGGCGCTCTCTCTGGATTGGAGCGTAGGCGGTCCGGTTTATGAAGGCGCCCCGTCGACGAGGGCGGTCCGGAACATTAGGTCGCACTCGGAGGGGGGTCCGGTCTTTTGGGTGGGGGTGGTCGATCCATAAGGGATTCGGAGCAGCGCCAACCGCGTCCCGGTCCCCGAGCGTCAGCGCCCCGAGCCTGTCCCAGGCCCTCCGCTCCTCGCGGAGCGGAGAGGGGCCCGCTGGCCGCCTGCAGGGCACGCGGCGTGTCGCGGGGGGGATCGTCGCCGCGGCACCCTAGAAGCAGAAGCTGCCGACCGTAGGCCTCAAGTCGGGCCTGTCCCTCTGCAGGGGGAATGCTCAAAAATAGACAAAACAGATAGTCCGGGGAGGATGTTTTGAAACTATGTTTTTGGGCATCCTGGAGTACTTCTGAGTACTTCCCCCTCTTCGCCCAAAATCGGCCTGTACAGGGGGACATGCCCGACCTGACCCTACGCAGAAGCTCCCGACCGCAGCCTTTTCAGACCGCGCCCCCGACGACCTGCCAGGAGGAGGTGCCTCCTGCCCCCGCCCCTCCTCCCGCCACTCGCGGGCGGGAAAGGTCTCCACATCCACGGCCTCGCGGCGCCTGGCCCGCTGGGCCGCGCGCCCGCGGATCTGCGGGGCGCGCGTACTCGGGGAGGCCCCGCACGGATCGTTGGGCACACGACCGCGCACCGGGGCAGCGCGCCCGGGGGATCGCAGGCCGCAGGGGCGTGGACGTGGCTGCGTTCTCCGCTCGCGTGCGTGGCCTCCTGCATTCCGCCCGCCCACCCTGCCCCCCCCCCCCCGCCCCGGACCCCGCCCGCGGGCAGTCGCTCGTTTGGGACGGCGCGCTGCTGAACTCGGTCTCCCGGGAGCACTTCGAGGCCACCGCCAGCACGGTTTTCTCGCTCGCTCTCCCTCTCTCTCTATCTTTCTCTCTCTCTCTCTCTCGCTCTCTCTCGCTCTCTCTCGCGCTCTCTCTCTTTTTTTTGTTTTCTCTTTCTCTCTCTCTCTCTCTCTCCACAGGGGGGGTGAGGAGCAACGTCATAGGGAGGTAGCAGGCTAAGGGGGGGATGCATCGACCCCTGATCGCCGACTGATCGCCGAGGGGGGCCCGATACTTAGCCCACACCGCCCGGGGCCGTGGGGCTCCCACATCGGGCCCTGTCGCCGGTCTATCGGCGATGCATCACCGATTCCAGCTCGATGCGTCCCACGCCCACCCACCCCCGAGCACGGAGCGCTCAAGTGATCGTTGTTGTTATCTATTGTTTTGCCGATCGGCGCGGGCCCCAAAACCCCCCCTCCCCCCCCCCATGGAGCAGATCGTGGCCGCTTTGGGCGCCTCTTTCGGGCAGGTGGAGCCTCCCACATGATGGACGCACTGCTGCAAGCAGTCGCACGGAGCAGAGGTCCAGAGCCAGATCCCCCCCCTTCGCCCAATGTCGGAACGCCGAGTAAAACAACGTTGGCCAATCACTGCACCTTCCTCCACTTCGGCAAGAGAAGGCCGCATCAGAGGTCCGGAGCCAGACCCCCCCCCTTTCGCCCAGTGTCGGAACGCCGAGTAAAACAACGTTGGGCCAGTCACTGCACCTTCCTCCACTCCGGCAAGAGAAGGCCGCGCTCGGGCCCCGGGGGGCCACCAAGCAGCTCGTCGGGGCGAGGCGCTGCCCATGGGGCAGGGCGGCGAGGTCCCTCTGGGGCCCCCGGCGACTGCAAGACTCCGTCCCACCTTCGGAGCTCTGAGTCCTTCCCCGCCTCCTCGGCCCTCGACGATTCGGGGTCGCGATCCTCGACCCTCGAGGATT